CCCCCCGAGCCGGGCACAGAGCCCGGGGGGACCCCGAGATCACCCGGCCCTGCCCCTGCCCTGCCCAGCTCCGGCCCCTGCCCTTCCCTGCCCTCCCCAACTCCTGTTCCTGCCCTTCCCAGCCTTTCCCATCTCCTGCCCTTCCCAGCCCCTCTCTGCCCCCACACTCCCCACCCAACTCAGGGGAAAAGGATTGCAGCTCTGGCTAGCTCAGAGCTGATTTGGACTACCCTGCATTACTGAAATATTTGTAAAGGTTTTACCTTGAAAATGTCTCACCACAGAGTTCTCTGCGACAAAGAAACCCAAATTGGGAAATTTTACCAATTGCAAGGTTCCAAGTGCAGCAGTGTGACAGAAATGTGTGCACCTCTCATAAAATGGGCCCAAGCCTCCTGCTTGCCCTACAGCTGGGACTAATGGAATAAGGATGGACAGAGCTACACAAACAGCCTGTGCCTGCCTGTCAGCTGCTTTGTGCTGCTTTCTCTGATGACCACTGTATTGACCAGAAAAATGAAATAAAGAAGTTTTTATTTTGCTTTTATCCAGATCACAACTTCTTATTAGAGTTGAACAGATTATTTGGGATACCTTGGCATAGCAGGTGAAAGGCACAGAGAAAGTTCCAGCCTTGCTGCAGATGTGTTCCTCTCCTTCCTTACACACTCTGCTGTCATAATTTCAGTTTTAAAAATAAACTGTAATTGCGTAGCTAGTTCCATTACATTTTTTTTTTTTGGTGAAAGAAACCTTATTTCAAGATCTGGTTTCTGCTCCTCTGTTTGCATCTGCGTTATCCAGAATTCAATTCCCATAAGATATTGACGTGCTGTGTTTCCAAGTCTCACTCATGCCAGATTTACTTTCCTTCACGTCAAGCAGCGTGAAGGTTCAGGTTGGTAATTCTGCAGTGCTGAGAGGACAGGGCAAGCAGGGACCAGTCTGTCAAGCTTCACTTGGAGAATATACCCAGACTACAGTGGGCCAAAGAGCAAGAGGGTTTTTTCCCCTCAAACTGGTGGAAATTATACAGAGCAGCAGTGTTTTGGCAGCTGTGATCCTGTGCTCAAGAATTTTTACATCTTGCCAATTCTGTAGTAAAATAAAATATCTTCAGAGAGGCCTAAGGAGCCACCATCACACAGGGGTGTGTGTCCAGGCAAGCACATACTCACCCACACACCTTCAACCCAGCTCAGAACAAGAGAGCCTAGGTCAGAACCTCTCAGAGGCATTACAAAACATTAAAAGAAATTCTGAAGATTAAATACTCCTGTGCATTACAGCTCACACACAGTGAGCAGAGGAAGCATCTTCAAAAAGAAAGTTAACAGCAGGTTGTGGTTAGTTTTTTCCTTTGGTTTCCATATTCTCCACACAGGCTATTTTCAGCACACATTAAAAGGCATAGTATAAATAGGGCAATGTAATTTGGTAGCAGAAAAAACCACCTTATTGCATATATGATCTCACAAGGTAGCTATTTCAGTGTGCAAAATAAATCTAGAAATCATCTTATGTAGCTGAATAATCAGCTAAAATGTTAAACTTTCAGTGAAAATAAACTTTTTAGGTGTTAATGAGAACAGGTATCAGCAGTGACAGCAAAGCAGAATACCCCAAACCCCTGTACAATAGCCCCTACCAGAAAAATTAATAACAGTGCAAATATTTTTCCAGCCAACATGTATGACTCACTGCAGCAACATGTTAAGTTAAAATTGTAGTAAAATTCAATGAAGAGATGGGTACTCAAACAACAACAAGCTCATCTGCAATTACAGTGCCAGTACAAAATCATTCTACTGCACACCTCTCTTCTTGTAAACTAAACTCAAGCCAGAGTTTTACACTAGAAATTACATCCTCTGAAGAAGTCCCTCATACAAATGCTACTGGTAAATCACACCTCAAATTCCTGGTTTTCTGTCACAATACTTGACTAATAACAACTCATGCTTGCTTGCCATAAACCAGTTGGCAACAGGGGAAAGAACTGTTGCATTATAGATTACATTTCATCCATACTATGTTACACAGAAGTAGATAATTTTTGGTGATGTATGTGATTAGTTTCATTGAGTCTTATTTTTTTTTTCAATGTTGTCTTGGCTATACTAGCAACTTGTTCTTCATGAGCCATCATATTGTTTCTTCTGAATGAAGGATGATCTTTTAGGATAGGTTATATTTATATATCATATTTATATATTTATATTTAAATATATTATACATTTAAAGTTATATTTAAATATATTTATTGCTTAGATTTTGTTCAGGAATTTGTTCAGGAATTTTATCTACTGCAATACTTACTTTGTTCAGTAATTTATCTACTGTAATAATTTTACTACTGTAATTTATCTACCTACTGCTGCCCTGAGGCACTTCCAAAACTAAATAAGCATAAATAAGAACTTTGAAAACTCTCCCCACAGAATTCTGCAGAAGAGTTTCAAATCAAGAACTTCCAAGTTCTCAAAGTGCCATTCCCATTGAGTTCCCTCTCCCATGGACCCAGGGCTCTGTACCTTTGTTTGGGATGAGCTGTTTCCTTGCTTGGCCATGATGACGTTGGCACTGTCGCCCCAGGGAGATGCCTTTGACATTTTGGGAGAGCAAAGAGTGCAGAAGTGACAAAGGAGAGTGGCTAAGTGACAAAGGAGAGTGGCTAAGTGACAAAGGAGAGTGGCTAAGTGACAAAGGAGAGTGGCTAAGTGACAAAGGAGAGTGGCTAAGTGACAAAGGAGAGTGGCTAAGTGACACCTCCAGCCCTAAGCAGAGGCAATAATCCTCGGGCAGGTTGCCCAAGTTGAGCATGACGCACTCCAGGAGGGCTCTGAGATGCTGAATCTTCCTTGAGGAAAGACAAAGGACAGCAGCTGCTGGTCAGAGTGCTTCATTAGCTTTCCTTGGAGGATGCCTAGGGTGAATATTGATAATACCATTGTCATTGATAGTTCACTGAAGGAGAAGCATTTGTACAGAGCATCCAGCACCAACAGTGAGATCATGCATCAAATCAGAGCTAATTACTGTCTGCAGTTTTGGAACAAGAGCTGCATGACTCAGATGAGGAGAGAGAATTCCTCTCTTGCTGCTTATCTCTCTCACAGGGAAGCACAGGGAAAGGGGAATAAAACACATTAGGTTAATTCTGTGGAGAAATTCTTTTGTCATAAACATTCAGTTCAGCAGAGAAGTGCAGAGAAAAAGGATTTGTAGTACAGATAATTGAAGCATATGTTCAATAGTCGAGGCAAGTCAAACACCAGCCCTCCCTGTGCACACAGGGAAGTTTAGGCTGGCAGGACCTCTGCAGGTCCTTTCCCACCTCTCCAACACCCACCTGTGCACTCAGATCAGAGCACTGAACTCACACAGGGATGCCAAGGGATTATCAAGCTTCATTTTGAAATTCTGTCCCATTCCATCCTTGGATCTATTCAAACCTGACTAGACACACTCCTGGACCAGCTGTCCTGGCTGGCCCTGCTTGCAGCAGGGGAATTGGAGTATGAGATTTCCAGATTTCCAACCTCACCTTCTTTCAGAGCCCACTGTGCTTAGCCCACCCATGGACTGCTCTCCATGCAGGTTTTTAGACCTGCAGCAGAAATGTTTCTGTTCTATATGACTGATGCAGCCAATTTGAAATTAGTCTTAGGAGCCACAGGATGCACAATATAAAAATTAATCTTCTATAGGAAATGCTTATTAAAAAAAAAAGAGAAGTTTACACCTTTTGCAACTTATCACAAAATTCAGCATAAGGAAACAACTTTAGTAACATTAGTTGGATTTCATAGTATTTTGAAGAGCATTTGAAGACAAAAACATTTGAGTAGAGAGGCAGAAAAGTAACAAACCTCAATTTGTTACAAACAAGCATTATCTTCTCACCATTAAAAGGAAAGGATATTGCCATATACTTACATTTTTTTGTTATTTTCAAGGCTCTATACAGTTGGATATGACACTGCATAGAGAATGGAGGGGAGAGACCAGTCCAGTCAGTCCTTGCTCTGTGATATGATAAATCAAATTTTAAGTTAAGGAGACAAAATAGGCTAGATGGAGGGAAACAAGGACTAAAGGGATGAGATGACATAAGGCAACTCCTGTGGTAGCATTAGGCAAAAGCAATAGGCAAACAGGGGAAAAACCTTGCTAACATACTCAGAATTAAGTAGTTAGTTCCAACTGAAGGAGAAGATAAGTGAAATGGAAAATGATCTTCCAGTCTACAGAGAGACCTGTGTTTAACATCAACCAAAGTAGTTTATATGTACCAAGAAGTCTCCAGATGGAAGCTGCACTTTCTCTGCCAAGACAATTCTCTAGGGCACCATTGGATGAGGTCTTCCCAAATAAATAGGTGTGAAATTCTGCAAGGGAGAGCAAAACAAATTAAAAAATTGAATTCTCCTAGTATTTTCTTTGTAAGTTCACAAGCTTTTTTAACTCCTTCTCTTTTTTACTTTTTTTCTGGCACAACAAATACAACACAACACATTCATCCATCTCACAAAAGAGAGAGGAAAAAAAAAATTGGATTTCATATCAGATGCTTTGCGTCAAGACTGCTGAGGCTCATAAATCAGCTGTCTATTGCCCTGGTCATTTCAACCAACGTCTGACCCTTTGTTAACTCATGATTTATAACTGAAAGTTACTTTTTTTTTAATGCCAGATTTATAAACTTTACTGTGCTTGGTTTGATATAATATCCATTTTGTACACCAAGCTATAAGACAGTAAATTTATTGTCTATGAACTGTTACCTTGAAAAATTACATCAATGCAAAGTGGTTTTCATTTAGAATCAATGGGCAATAAATTCATTGGATTTTTTTTTTGAAGGGGGGAGAGAACATGATGGTGTTTATGAGGTCATGAGTGGCTATATAATGGGAGAAACTGGGAGCTGAGGCTCCAGTTAGCCAGGAGTTCTGAGTTCCAGGGTTGGACACAACAGAACATCCAACACAGCAAGGATGCATAAACTGATACTTTGCTGTCTCATTATCATCTGCTTCTCCTGTCCTCTCTTGTCTCTCCCCATCATCAATGCCAGTGAGATGTCTTATCAACACTCAGGTAAGAGAATTTTGGCTTTAATGGTTATCATGCAGGGGTTGGAGCAGGAAAAGCAGCAGTGTGCTTTCCAAGGGGCCTGGATCTGTGCTGCTCAGCTGCAGGAGAAGCAGGAGGACAGCAGCAGCACAAGGGACACAGCAGTGGGTGCTGGTCTTGTACAATGGGGACCTTGGGTGCCCTAAATAGTTACCTCTGCTGCTTTGAGATCCAGGAAACAAAAGGATGCATTGAGGAGAAAAAGGCATCTGAGCCTTGCAGCACTGAATGTGAGCTGGCATTCAGTGTCTGGGCATTCATAGGCACTGGGTAACTTAAAGAAGTTTGGCTGTACAGTCTCTCCTGCTTCTACCCTTTGAAATAAGCTATTTTGTGTTTAAAAACAGGGAAACCTGGTGCAAACATCAAGAACAGGCAAATCTCTCTTAGACTTCTATGTACTGAGAATGCTATTTGTTTGCACTAATTTAGATTCCATCCAGCCCAGGGGAAGAATAAATCTTTACTTGAGAAAGTGATGCTCAAAGTTTGAAATGGCTCAGAAAAAATGCACAGCAGAATCTGGAAGGTTACTATCATCAGACCTGACTGGTCCTGGAAGACTTTCTGAAATGAGTTCTGAAAGAACAGCAAACCAATGCAGAAGTTATTGCATAAAGCTGACTATTAAAAAGTGGATGCTCTTACCTGCTTTGCAACAGCTGCTCTGCTGGTTCATAGGTATCAGCAGTCCCCAGTCTGCTCTGAAAATCTTGGACTGCTAAGCCAGCATCTCCTCAAGCCTTCCACAATGTAATTTGCATTTCCAGGTACCCCTGACTCAATATGAGTAATATCTGTCACATCATAGCTGGCTCTAGCCATTATTGCATTAGGTTCAAGTCACTGTGCTTAGATCTTCCCTGCTAATGTAAAGACTCTCTGGGAAGGAGAAGACACAGAAGAGGAACTCTTTTAAAGAGGGTTGGTTTTGGGTTGGGTTTTTCCTTTTTTAAATCTCAAAGCAAATTTACCTGCTAGCACTGCTCTGATTTAAAGATAATCCATGGCCAGAGATGCAGATTGTCTCCACACAGCACTGGGAATTTTTTGTATTCTTATTCTGAGTCCTATAAGGAAATCCCTGCTGTCCTTTGCAAATGTCCTTTTGTGCAGTGAGTAAACCAATAACAGGCATGTCCAAGATCTTCAAATTCCTGATCTTTGTGCAAGTTTTTGAAATGTTGGGAGATTATTTCAGTTTGTTTTCTTACATGTCCATGTGAGAAGCTACAGTCACACCCATTCCTGCAGGTCAGAGCAACTGGAACTCCACAGGGTCACCTACAAATCCAATTACAAAATTATATTAATCTACACAAATAGTGTTTGATAATGACACCCTCTGGTTGCCCACAATTTTGGATGTCTGCTATGTATTAGCAAAGATTAAATTTACTGCTCAGGTTACAAGAACCCAAGTTACCTGGAATATTGCACTGTTAAGGGATTCTATTGGCAACCTGCCTTGGGGCACAGGCTAGCCACAGAATTCTGAATTCTTTATGCATAGACAAATTAATTCTATCAGCTACCAGCAAGCTGTTATGTTGGAAAAACTGGTAACATCTGTACTGGTACACACATTAAATGAGAGATGACTAAAATACACCAAGAAGCACAGCTGCCAAAATAAGTTGTAAGTTTTTCTACCTTTATTCCTGCCCTTCCAAAACTTCCACTGCATTTGGTAATTGCAAGACTGAGCAGGTTAATAGGTCTCAAACAGGAAGTTTTGCCTTTATTCATAGGAAAGCAGCAGCACAGGAACTATTTCATAAAGAAATAAACTAAAGTAAAATTTTTAAAATTACATCCAAGTCTGGGCGGTATATACCCAGGCTGTATACATATATATATGGAAGGATGAGGTTGAGTACCTCAAGTGACAGGAGGGGCTGCTGCTGTCAAAAACTCTTGTAACAAAACTTCTGCCAGAGAAATGAGAATCTAAGATTAACATCAGGAAGGTTTCTCTTTTCTCAAAGCTTTGGAAGGAAATGAAGACAAAACCAACTCTCCCTATTAGAAGAATTAAATAAGGATAGGTGGTTGGTGCTTTCATGAAAATCTTCAACAGACCTGTGGGGTCTGTGGGGCCAACAGACCTGATGAGAAAGCCCCTGAGACAGACTGAAACAAGGATGCAGAGCAAAAGACTCACCCTGTGCCTGTTTCTGTCACCTTGCCTTGGCAGCTGATGAAGACTCGAGGTTAAACCTGGAGAGGTTGGGCAGCCTGGGAAGCTCCTCCCTGCTCCAGCTCCTGGGGACCCTGACTGAGGACAGCAAAGCAGGTGAGCATTCAGCACAGCAATGGAGTGCCCATGCTTCACACCTCCAGCTCCCACAGATATCACAGCCCAGCTCCCAGGTGTTTGCTAAAATACAATGTTATCTGTAAGCAACAAGCAGCTGTCATTGAGTTAACTGGGATTTTGGGGAACCTGCAGAGTAGCCATGCCTGCAGCTCAACACCACCTCAAAATCTCCAAATGGGTGCTGCAAAACTTCCAGACAGCAAAACCAGGGCAAGGAGAAGGTTGGCCAAAGAGGAGCTGGCAGGCAAAGAAAATAGCAGTCTTACAAAACATCAATACTTGCAGAAAGTGCAGAATCAGTGGCAATGGATGGTTTGGGAAGCAATAGATGTTACCCTTGGATATTCCATTCCAAGACCTCTGTCAGCTGTAGCATTATGGCACATGAGAATTACTTGCCTAATTCATGATTCCTAAATGGTGAAACATTTCATTGTGTCTCCTCTTTAACAGGTCTTACCCCCAGCAACTACAACCCAGGGGAAAATATCAAAGAAGTAAGTAAATAACCATCTATCACTGAAACAAGAAAAATAAGACTAAACTACACAGAATTGTTGCCAAGAAATCATTTCAGATCAACAGACTTCACAAACAGTATAGACTAAAGTAGTATGCCACAGTGTTCTTGAAGCTGGAATCACTTGGCTGTTAGACAGGAGAGGGGGAAAAATGGGAAAGGAAAAAAAAAAAGAGATCAAGTAATCCAGATTAAAAAAGAAAAAAAAAATGGACTGTTTAGAATTAAGTTGGGTTTGGTGGGGTTTTTTTGTTTGGTTGGGGTTTTTTTTGTTTAGTTGTTTTTTGTTTTTTTTTTCCCCTAGAAAAACAGCTCAGTAAAGGCCAATTCCCAGCTTCATCAGCCCAGGCACCATTTGCACCACCACCAGCCCCAGCACAGGTTACAGAGTATGATCAGCTCTGTTATGAACCATTATGTACATGGAGAGCATCATCCCTGTTCACTTCCTGCTGAATTAAACATAAATGCAGAAGACAGGGCTGAGTTCTAGTGGGACATGCAAAGCAGAGGTTACACTGGGCAGTCCCCTCCTTCCCCCAGTGAGAGCACAGGGCTGGGAGGGCAGGGAGGGTGGAGGATGTACTTTCCCACTGGGAACCACCCCCAGTAACCTCCCCAGTGCTGTTTGATTTCAGAATTTCTACAGGAACCATCCTCAAAATGCTTTCCTGGGCCGCCTCTTGACCAAGGACAGGAAACAGTACAAGAAACGTGGGAATCTTTCTGAGTGCTTCTGGAAATATTGTGTGTAAACAGGGAACTCCCTGACTGGCTGCATAATTTATACAGATGTCTGAAAACATGTATATAGAGCTGCTTGATTTAAAATGGGAATGAAGAAACACGAAGGCAGCGCCTAACTTTAGACTCTCTGCTACTTGGAAATGAATAAATTCTTGATGTTTTGCAATTATGTTGTGAGCAATGTAGTGATTTTTTTAGAGCTCAGCACAACAGGAAGGAAGTAATGGGAGGAAGAGACAAATACACAACACAAAGAGAACTTGAGCAGGGGAAGGAAAATTCCCATGGGGTTCTGTGAAAACTCCCAGTAGAGCTCAACTGTGTCTAAGTCCAGAGGCAAGGGGACTTTCTCCTTTGTCACTGATGTAGATTGGGGTGCCAGGAAGAAGTTCAGCAGGTAAGGGATGGCAGCTTAACAATGCCCAGTCCCCCCCTGCCATCCCCAAAACCAATCAGCAATGTCAGATCAGGCATCTGCTCCCACTGCTGCTGGAGATGATTGTTTCTCTCTGTCACTTGTAAAAAAGACCCACAAATTATTTCTCTGCCCAGCCCTCAGCTCCCCATGGCAGGCTGCCTGTGCCCATGGGTTTGAGGAATTGTGTGATTATTATCAAGCACAGTATGGAAGGTAAACGTGGTTACCAATGTCAGGATTTTACACCCAGATTTGGACCATCAGTGGAGGCAGGAATGACAGACACCATGTGAAAGATTCCTGCACACACAGGTGCAGGAAGGTGATACATGGACAGAGATAATTGGGGTTTCCAGGGAAGCTTCCTTGGACACTCAAGGTACCACTCACTGATAATGTTGCTGTATCTTGGCATGTAACATAAATAAAGGAGTGGACAAAACAAAAAGCCACAGAAAGCCTCTAGCCTGACTCCTCTACATGCAGAGTACCTCCAGATTCTCTCACTCCTGGGTAGCTTCTGATAGTAACTGCAAGAAATAAGAGCTAAACAGGCAGGAATTGTCTCTGGGAGATGCCATTTTTGATAATATCCACAAGCTGTCTGAGCTGTGAACCCCTGCTCAATACATACATTGCATAAACCCCACTCCAATCAGGGCTCACAGAAAGCTTGAGATAAATACCTAACAGTGATCCACAGCTACATTGATCTCAGGAGCACACATCATAAATCTCTGACTGTGCTGTTTAAACAAAGCCTACAGGTTTAAAACAGCTTGCTCACTTCACATAAATTGTAAGACAGATGATGCCAGCTGTAACAGAGAAAAATGTCCTCAAAGTCAGAGCAGCAGGATGCCCTGTACAGCTATTTGAAATCTTTTAAACATTCATCCTTCTCTTACATAGTGGAGCAAGTCAGTGGCTCTCTGGAAATTACTCCTTTTCTGCTACCTCAGCCAATTAAACTTCTCAGAAAAGACTTGAAATTTATCTAAATGAATAATCAGCTAAGACAGACATAGACAGGGAGAAGTGTAGAGCCTAAAAAGACTGGGGGGGGAAATATTTTCAAAAACTGCAAGCATAAAGCTAAATAAATAAAATCAGAGTGAAGAATAACAGAAAAGACATTGCAAGAATTAAAAAGTTCACTGGCCATCTACCTGAGAAAGGAAAGAAATGAAGAGCTGTCAGGTGCTGAAGATGGAGTCAAGACAAGGTAATTGATCTATAAATAGTGAAACCTTAGCTTTTAAAACTACAAAATAGTTGGTAACATTTACAGCATCTAAAGAAGCAATACCAAACCAATTTATTATTCCAGCTAGGCCAGCTCACAGCAGCAGGGGCTGAGGGGAATTCAGCTAATTCTAATAGATCAGAATTTCATCAGAGCCTGAAACTTTGTCAGGCCCAGTCCTGAAAAGGAAGGAGCTCAGAGTGTCTTTGGACACCACTGGTAGCTCTCAAAGAGAACTGTTTGAGACACTGTGGAGCATCCAAGTGCTCCCTTCCCAAAGGACATTCCTGGCAGATGCCAGATCAACTCAGGCCCAGGTCCAAGAGCAGAGCCTGGCCAGGTGTGACACAGGAGGGCTGTGGTATTTTCTGGGACCCCCATCGAGGGGAGGAAATTAATCTGACTCCATGTTCTTAGATGGCTAATTTATTATTTTATGATCTGTATTATATTAAAGAATGCTATACTAAACTGTACTAAAGAATACAGAAAGGATACAGACAGAAGTTTAAAAGATAATAATGAAAACTCGTGATTCTCTCCAGAGCCTCAACACAGCTGGCTGTGATTGGTCATTAAGTAAAAACAATTCACCTGTTGGATAAAGAATCTCCAACCACATTCCAAAGCAGCAAAACACAGGAGAAGCAAATGAGATAATATTGTTTTCCTTTTCCTCTGAGGCTTCTCAGCTTCCCAGGAGAGAAATCCTGGGCAAAGATATTTTTCATAAGATATGCCAGTGCCAGGAGGGCAAACTCCCCATCCTGCTGTGACATCCAGCTCCTGCCAGCTTTCAGCTCAGAGCTTCCCCTCACTCCTGCAGGGCACAGACAGGGCTGGGACTGTCACAGAGAACTCTCAGACTGCAGACAGGGTCTGGAAGGCAGGTTTGCCTTACCATGGGAAGGTGTAGCTGGGGGAGTCAGCAGCAGCATTCTGAGCCCGTGGGCAGAGGGAGCAGGGGCCAAAGCAGAGCTGCAGCTGGGAGCTCCCAGGAATGTGTGATGGGTACCCTGACAGGGACCAGGCTGCTCTGAAGCAAATCTACTACAGAAAACACAGACCCATTACTTCTGAGAATGGGATGATGAAGTATCTCAGGTCCAATTTCTCACCATCTGCCAAAAATACAGCAGTACATGGTGCAGGCTCACCTCTGACATCCACACAAATGTGTAACTGCAGGTTCTCAGCTGTGAGCCAGGACTTGAGCTGGCAGCAGGATGATTGCTACTGAGAATCAGAAATGTGGATAGGCTGAAAGAGCCCAGATCTCTGAAAAAAAAACCATAGATCCAACCCTGAACATTTTTCATTTCACAAGCCATTTCATTTATCCTCATTTTTTGAAATAGATAGATAAAATTTGACTCACATTTTTAAGAATGCTTAAAATGACCAAATAACCCTTTAAAAAAATCAATAAACCCTAAGTAATGATACATCCAATGTTACTTTCAAGATGCCTCTATTCAAGACACTGCATCACTTACCTCATCAGAAGCAGTTCAGTTATGTACTTTTCTAAGATTACTTCTTTCTTTTCCAATTTCAGTATGATGCTACTTTTGTTCTGTACCTTGTACTCCCTGCAGTGATTTTGCCTTTCTCCTGCAGGCTTCTTTCAGCACTATCAATCATATCTCTCTGTTATGTCCCTTAAAGCAGAAAAAGATGAACAAATTGTTACTCTGCAATTAGTTAAGAACTTCCCTGCTCTATGAGACATGTTCATGAATTAAACCTATGATTTTTTTTCTCTGTACTTTCTCTAGAACAAAAACTTTTAGAAAAGTCACACAGACAGAAGCTTTAAGTCCTGCATGCCAAATCCTAGCAGTTTAGAAATCCAGATATAATATTTCACACACAAAAAGTCCTTACCCTTGTGGGATGCAGTCAGAAAACAAAGAGCATATCCTGGACTTGGTAAGGTGGAGTGTGACTGAAAAAAACAAACAACTACAAAACCCCTCAACAAAACAGCATCAATGGCCACAACATGGCCATTTTCACTGTACCCCCAACCCATGTACAAGCAAAAAAGGTGTTGAGGGTTCTGCTAAAAGCATATTTTCTACACATTGCCAAGAGCAAAATAAACACACATTGGAACAGTTGTTTGCAGCATATTTTTCAGGTTTATTTATAAAATCAGATGCTCCTTTAAAGTGTACAGTTAAAATCACAACTGTAAATTCAACCACAGCTGAATATTGTTTCAATAAAATACTCCTACCAACTGATGTAAAAATTCATTCAATTGTGATTCAAAACTGGATTCAGCTGGAAGATAAACTTACCAATACATTATTCATTCAGCAAGTATCTACCACACTGTAAAAATACATGAGGGTCCCTTCTGTTCATAGCAATGCCATGAAAATATCTGCACAACAACTCATCTTTTAAAAACATAATTCTACATTTATGAATACAACAACAACAACAAAAAAAAAATCGCCAGTGAAATCCTCTGAGGGTTTCCAAACTGCTGACACCCCCACAGGGGGCAGTAACTGCATCAGTGCTGTACCAGCATGTTTTCCCTCTGACCACTAAATAAGTGATTTTTCCAAGCAGCTCTAAACTGTCTGCAACATTTTGCCAGGCAAAACAAAGCCACAGAAACAAAACAGCAGGTGCAAATCCAGCTGCAACACTCCCTCCACTGGCCTTTCTGATCAGAAGTGCATCTTGCTGTGATCACTCCAGCACACTACAGAGACTGAAAGATGAGTACAAGCTGAAGTAAAAACTGCCAGTTCCTGAAAACTTATGGAAATGAGGTCAAAGGCTTGATAAGGCATTTCATTGCAAGATGAAGTTGTGGTTCTAGCAGGGTAAAGAGTGCCTTGGGAAAGTTTGGGGTTTCTTTATCCTAAGGGGATAAAACCTGCTGATTTTGCAGCCAAGACTGTGATTTTTGGGCAAATAATTGTCTTATCATCACACAGGGCACTGATTGATCTGTTCATTCCTCTTACATTGTTCTCCTACACCATAATTTTTTCCATAACCCAGGAAATGTGCAGCCCCAGAGAAGGGATCCTGCACCTAAGATTTAGCCAGGATTACAAACTTGGAATTCAAATTCCTAGGCACATGAATTTTCATTATATATGGCCAGAGGGTCGGTGGTATTCACAGCAATTAAAAAACTCTCTGGGCTGTTGCTCAGTGATTCTACTGGGCACAAATTCACAGCAGCAGGTGGTACAAGAAGGGTTAACATCTCCAAACAAGAAACACAGGTAACATGATCAGGTTTCTACCTACAGAATCTTGATCACTTGTAGCAAAGACAGCACAGGATACAGCAAGTGAAGACTCCCAGATTT